TTCCCAGGATATTCCCGCAATGTTCTGTATATTTTTTGAACATTCTGGGATATTTATAGAATATCAAATGCTATCTGAGCTGTGCTTTAAAGTTGAACTTTTGCTGACTCTTAAGCGCATTCAGGATGCTAATTCTTGTGGGTTTCAGAGCGCCTGGCTGAGCGCAGCGGACAGAACCAGTCGATGGGCGAGTCGCCCTCATTGGCCCAGATCCAGAACAAGCAGAACCGCGATCAGCAGTACCTGGCGGTACGAGTGGGTCGCGGTCCCCAGCCTCTTGACGTGGACGACACGTACAAAGCCGAGTCCTCCGACTACATCGAAGACATTTGCCCATACGCCACCTTTCAGCTCTCCAAGCCGGCCTACAGCGAAAGCTCCTACAGCGGCAACGTCTACAGCGGACCGTACCATTCGGTACGCGGGTCTTTTGTTTATCATGACGTAAAACCACCACCTAGTGATAAGTTTAAGTTAGGACATGTAAGTGAGTTTTCGTTGTGTTTTGCATGGTTGGTCGAGAGAGATTCGTGCGCTCACACTCCGCCCACTTGCACATGGAGGGTGTTCGGAACGAGGACAGCAACACGAGTATATGTAGATTAGCAATAGTGGTTGTCTTCAGTTCCGCACAGCCTGTAAAGACCCGAAGTTGCATCATTGCGCCTTGTTGTTGCAGAATAAGGAGCCAGAGTACACAAAGGTGCGGAGAAAAGGAGGCAGGCTGCGCGACCCCCACTCGGAAAGTCAAGGTAATGGGGAACAGGCGGGGCTTGAGGCATACATTTGAAGACTTCCAGTGGTTTATTGCCCCTTAAATTGACTCCTTGGCAAATATCTGGCACATCCAAATTTCAGAGTCTGATAATCTGGGCAGCACCGACTCAGAGGTGAAGAAGATTCTAACGCTCCACCTGCCTATTTCAGAGTACGACACGTTGGGCTCGGACTCGGATGGGGATGGGCGGGCGGCCAGCCAGGAGTTGGTGTCCTTCGGGCATCGCATGCGAGGTACTTAACATTTCACTAGCCACTTTCTGGGACACGCTGTGTATGAATCAGAAAAGACATGCTTCCAGGTGGGGCGGAGGGATCGTCTACGTCGTCCGAGTCGCCGCCCTCGGGGAGCGTAGGACGCAAGCCCTACAACACGCGAAAGGGCAAGGGAAAGGGCAGCGCTAAGGGGTTGAGGCATGTGCGTTCTTCCAGCGGATATTCCAGCCACAACGACGAAACTACCTTTAGTATATCACATGCGCCTAGTTTCAATGAGCGAATTCATCCCCCTACTAGGTGAGATTTACAGTTCTTTGAGGGATATTTTGGTTTCAATGGGAGTCCGAGACCGCACTTGGTTTTGCAAAGAAGGCAAGACCAAGTCCTCTATTAATGTCTTATAGAGAGTATAGAATAGAGGACTTGTTCTTCTAGATTTTCCGACGTCAGCTTGCGAGATTTCTCGGACGCCGAATACGAGAAGAGCCACAAAGCGCGCGGCTCGTCGAAGCTCACCAGAGAGGCTTTCCAGATTAATGTGTGAAATATAGCCACTGATACCCATAGACTTACACCCTCAAATTTTCATTTTTATTTGTGAAATTTAGAAGCAAGAATCCAATCTGCAACGGTTTCAATAGCAGCAAACCCTTAAAGTTGCCAAAAAAAACGACATTAACTGGCGTGCCAAATCTGGCGAATTCCTTTAGGAGGATGTAACTCGAAGCCTTTAGGATTGAACGCCATGAAGCGATTTGTTGAATATAAATTGAGTTTTCATAGTTTTATATAATATGTATAGAGAATATCGGTGATTTTTGTACCATATAGATAATGCATAAGGTAACTAACTATAGGGCTGGTATAAAAGTATCACTTTGAGGGCTGAAAGTGGGGAAAAACTGCATGACCTTTTTGATGACCCTTTCGTCCTCACTATGGCCCTTGATTACAAGGTAGCATCTTTCACGTCTAAATGTGTCAAACAAAATCACTTTATATATAGATAATCAAGTCACTTTACAATTCATCACCCACTCTACGTCGGTACTCTCTCTCACTCTCCCTATCAAATCGAAATGACTGGTCTGTAGATTTCTAAGAGTTATTATCTTTTTATTACTGTAACTAAAGAAACTGTTAATTGTAAGAAATTAAAGAACATGTTAGTACATGATGGTTTTATTGCTCCAGGTATGTAATCAAAACTCTCTAAAAAAATTAATAAACGGCTCGAAAATCGGACTTTTGCCACACCTTAATTGCACGTAAATTTTCTTGCTTTTTCTGGGCAAAATTTGGCGTCGTGAATGTGACCGACAGTTTCCATAAGATCACATTCTGAGCACCTTTTTTGCAAACTAGCATAGACTGTGATCAACTTAATGCTTTTCATATGGATGCAGTCACAGTCTAAACGCAACCCAATCAAACCCAACGCCAGAATGTGACTTTTGCGAAGATGGTTTGTAGGCAAAGTCACAGTGTAAACGCCTCGAAACTGGCACTTTTGGGACAACTTAACTTCATTTAAATTTTCAAAATTTGGCGTCGTGAATGTGACCGTCAGTTTTCAAAGGATCACATTCTGAGCACCTTTATTTGCAAACTAGCATAGACTGTGATCAACTTAATGTTTTTCATATGGATGCAGTCACAGTCTAAACGCAATGCAATCAAACCCAACACCAGAATGTGACTTTTGCGAGGTTGGTTTGTAGGCAAAGTCACAGTATAAACGCATCCAAAATCGCCATTCTGGGACAACTTAGAAGTAAATGCTGTTGCTTCTTCTGGTCAAAATGTGGCGTTGTGAATGTGACCGTCAGTTTTCATAAGATCACATTCTGAACACCTTTTTTCGAAAACTCGCATAGACCGTGATCAACTTAATGCTTTTCTTATGCATGCAGTCACATTCTAAACGCAACCCAATTAAACCCAACTGCAGAATATGACTTTTTCGAGGTTGGTTTGTAGGCAAAGTCACAGTATAAACGCCTCGAAAATCGCACTTTTAGGACAACTTAATTGCATCTAAATTTTGTAGCTTTTTTGGGCAAAATTTGGCGTTGTGAATGTGACCGTCAGTTTTTTAAAGATCACATTCTGAGCACCTTTATTCGCAAACTAGCATAGACTGTGATCAATTTAATGTTTTTCATATGAATGCAGTCACAGTCTAAACGCAATGCAATCAAACCCAACGCCAGAATGTGACTTTTGCGAGGTTGGTTTGTAGGCAAAGTCACAGTGTAAACGCCTCGAAAATCGCACTTTTGGGACACTTTCAGCATAACGTGCAATGTCACGCAAATGAAAAGCACTACGACCGTCTACACTTTGGTTGAGAGCTGATATTTCCTTGGACGGTTAGTAAACCGCATGTTTGACTAATAAACATTTTGAAACTTGCAGTAGCTTGAAGGACAAACGAAATCAAACACCAATACTTTTTAAAATTATGTATTTATTAAAATAAAACGTGAAAATGCTGTGAAATTTATCCGGCATATTCCGCATCTGAATTACCCTTACTGGGTGAAATCAAAGGGCTCAAAATCCGTTCGGATCCGGGCCACCAACTCTTCCTCTGCACTTCTATCGATCAGACAATCCCGGTATTCCACTCTATCGGGCATATCCAGCACAGGCCCGGAAGCCAACACTTCCCGCCCGAAACTCAAGGGGAAATTCATGGAGCCCTGGATTTTCGTGTAGAGCGTTTGCCCGTCGGGCAGCTCTACAGTAAAGTAGGGCGTTTTGGGCGGAACCACTTGATCCAAACGACTGTGCGACTCGAGTTCTTCCAGCCGGCATCCTTGGGCCTCCGACTCATCCTAAAAGAATAAAAATAATGTTCAAACTTTGTAGCATTAACGGGCAAAAACGATAAACTCACCAGGAATATGTCCTTTAGTTCGCGCGTAGCCTGTTGAGGAATGGGAACAGCCTGGAGCTGCATGTGTGAGGTTTTGTAGTTTCTCTCGAAAAAGACCGGCACTGTGTCCTTTCGATGGTAAAACTTGCGAATGGCCTCCTTGAATTGGGCCATTTCTTGTCTGATTTCCTCCGAACACGCCAAGGTGTTCTGGAAATGCTCCATTGGACAGATGAGAAAGTGTTCAGGCACCATTCCACCTGCGAAACAGCTGCTTGTTAATCCCACCAGGAATCCCGGAAGAGCAATATACCTTTGGCTAAAGTCAGATAGCAGCTTTCGCCTACAGTGATAACCAAGTGCTTCTCCACCGAAGGGCTTGCCAGGCAAAACCAGCACTTAGCTTGGTCGAATTCCACTCGTTGCCTCTTCGGCCTTTGCTTCCTCTTCTCATCTTCCATAGAGGCGTTCATGTCGTAGAAGTACTGACTGGGAATGTCGCCTTTCCTTTTCTTGGTTTTGAATACTAGAAAGGTGCGAATTTCAAAATTAAACTAAGCAGAAGTAGTCACTTACCTTTGCTTTCCAGCTCGTCTATCGCAAAGGGACACTCAGTCTCATCGGTGGTCTTCTGGAGCAGCTCGGCAATCTTCATTTTATTCAGTGGCGTAACACTCAAGGCGTAGATCCACTTGTCTTTGCTTGGATTCCCCACTCGGGCCAGCCCTATAACGAGCGATATTTAGCTCGCACTTTTTCCATTTGGAGTTTTAATTAGCCACCCACCTATAAACCTGGTGACCGTTTCAAAGGTGGTGTCGTGATCTCCTAGATTGGGGCACCGGAAGGGCGCCCTTTCGTAGAACACGCCCTCGAGCCCGCTGACCACATAGCGTGGCTTCAGTTTCATAATGAGATAGCTGATGTGCTCACTCTGCGCGGCTTCAGCGACATTGACCTTAAACAAACCCGGACAATGTTGAAAAAACTAATTGGGGTTTATCAACCAACTTTGCCTCTATCAACGATCCCTGCGGGCCACTGCGAGGTGAGCAGAACATCAACGCCCCTAAACGAGGGGCTGCCCTTTAGGGCAACGTCGCACAAGTCAGACACATCGCTCTCGTCGTAGTTCCACTTATTTTTGTCCCCCGAACAAACCAGCCCGCTAAGATAGGCCACTTTCAGGCCTTTGCTGTCGTTGTAAATGCCCCTTTTGCCTGCAAGAAACACCGGTGAAACTTTCCTTGATGGAAACTCCTGCTGTTTCATACCGAGATAGTAGACATTGGGGCACAACTCAAAATCGGCCTCTTCTTTGGGAAACTCGGCAAGCTGGTCTTGATTGGTGGGGCCCAAGATGTAAGTCGGAATAGGAACTAAGACAAACACATTAGGAGGAGCAGTGCGAAAACGCTGTATATTTAACCCTTTTTGTCCCCCAGCCTATAGGGACCAAACTCCTTGTTGTTGACCCCAAAAAAATTCCCCACGCACAGCAACAGATCAAAAGGGCCAGACTTGCTGTTGATTGTTTCCACCCTCTTGAATAGAGTGTTGAATCTGCCCTCCACGTCTCCGCAGAATAATCTACAAAATATACACTTGAGCGTGAAGTGACTAATTCAAAATCACTTATATTAAGAGCCTGGTCAATGTTCAAGATTGAGATAGTTTTTCAAGTTTCAAATTCAAGTACCTAATGCATGCAAACAGTGGGATTTTTCCTCAGTATACAGGGTGATTCAAAATTGGCGTCATTCCTTTTAAGGGGTGATAGAGGCTCTCTTGAAGAGTACGAGAAAAATATCGAAAATTTTGTTTTCGAAAATTTCTAGAAGATATTAACAGTTGAATATCGAATTTCAACTTTGTTATTAAGCATTATTTTGAAATGGTTCCATGCTTAATTGGTAGCATATTTGAATACTTAAACATTCAAAAAGAAAAATTACGATTTTTGCTTCAATTTACGAAAATTTTTGATATCAAAAAAGTTATCTAACTAACTAAGTTAACCATTCAAATGTTTGGTGTTGTAGGGTTTATTTATAAACACCCATATTCGAGGTTATGAGAACAGGTTGACATTTCGTCAACAAATCTTGTTGAATTTACCGTTTATCCTTGTCTATCTTATTGTCAGTCTGTATAATTCCATGGTTACCGGAGTTTTAAATAATTACGAAGCAACAGGTATTTGCGCAATGTTAATTAGGCTGATTACCTTCAAAAACCTTGCTGCCGTATTTCTGATATAGTTTTTTGCAAATTTCTCAGTTTTTAATAACAATTAATTTATTTTATTATTTTTTCTGTACTCCCATAACAGCGCCAGACAACACCTCCAGAGGAATGACGCCAATTTTGAATCACCCTGTATACCAAGTTCAAACAAGTGGAAAACCTGGAAAATTGTTCAGATTCCGCAAAGATAACGCCACTATTTGTTTGTGGACATTTTTGTGAATGCACTGGCGCCATCAACGCTACTATTAATATCGTGTGCGCGCCCGTTAAGTTCCGGTGTCTTTAACGGGAAAACCATCAGGAAATACTAACGTAGTGTCCCCGTCCGAAGGCACAGACTACTCACTACCCCAAGGAGAACCACTTGCAGACCTACACAGTGAGTTTTACTTACATTTTTACTTTTTCCCCCATGATCCAACTTTAAACTGTTCTGCCAACCACATCAAAGCCCAACTCAATAAAACATCAAATAAGGGCAGATAATTTTGATTCAGTCCTCAAAACTAACCCCTGTAAAGGAAAATGACCGTCAGAGGCCCCAAAAAGACTGCAATTTTTTGAGGTTATAGGTTAGTTTATAGGTCTCTTTACTGACAGCGACAATTCTAACAAGTTGCTTAGGGCGTTGCCAACATGCGCCGTTTTTACTCTCGAGCTGACTGGACAAACATCCAAATAATCTCGTTATGTAGTATCTCTGTCAGCAAATTCACAAAAAAGCAGGATAGAACATAGGGCTGTTGAATTTACCAAAATTTTTTAAAGCTATATCTGCTTTCTAAATTTGTTTAATTTTTTTAATTAAAGCAATTTTCTTAAAAAAATATTGCGTTTTAAACCCAAAGCTGTGTCCATGTCCAATACTGACTCAAGTGAGAATCTACGATTAACCATGAAAGCGGCAACAGTGCATGTGCACGTAAAAAAACAACTCCGACTGCGTTCTTGAATTTAATTTCTTTGCAGTGTTAAACAGTTTTTTTAACTGACATAATCCATTTTAATCCGTTGGAAGTTTTCTAAGGTACATACTATTAAATCCCTGACTAACTCCATTTAAAATAGCGTCCAAAAGACAAAGACTGTGTTCCAGATTGTCAAAATGTTCCAACTCTTTCGTCAGTCGCTGCGGGCCCCTAAAACTCTAGTAGTTCCCTGTAGTGGCTTATTTTACCACCTACAACCTAAACAATCATCATACCTGCACAAACTCGCAGTTTACGTTTAATTATGATAATTCCAGCTCTTCCTTCAAGCAGCGCATTACCTTAAACCCATAAATTCGATAAAAATGTTTTTCACCATAAGCGGTCCGTTTGGGGGCCGGGTTGTATCATTAAAAATGTGCCTGAAGCCAAATGGCCTAATTCTAACGCAATTTTATGTTTATTAAATGAAAAAAATCTTTATATACAGGGTGATAATTATATAGATATTGCAGGACTAAGTGGTGCTCAAAGTGGATAGCTTAATCTTTCTATACCTAAAGAGTGGCTAATCGGAAACGATCATTGTTCATTAAGGGGATAAAAGGGTGAAACCAGACCTAACTTAGCTATGGAAAAAGATTCTTGGCTAGATTTTTTAACCATAATGTGAGAGTTTAGAGACTTGCTGAATAAAGCTGGCTTCTCGATCTGTTTCTTCAGAAAATCGTCTCGTTTTTTCTTCACGAAGCAAACCAGAAATCGTTTTCCTCTCGGAAAGGAAACAGTACTGAATTTTCTAGCTCCACCCCCTTGAATCTTGGGATCATTCCTGCCTTAAACACCCTGTATTAAATAAGCCTTAGGTTATATAATTTTTCATATGTGAACCTCTAAAGCCGCCATTCTTTTCTAAAACTAAATCAACCAGTGGCAGCCCACTATTATTCCCTTTATAAATCACATTCTCAGCATATGAGCGTACAAAAAGCGACAAAACAGTGAAAAACTGGAATTACGGCAGTGGAACAAATGCACAGTGTACGACTAAAATTATGAACTACTCTAATGGATACACTAAACACTAAGGGCTTTCAGGGTGATCGTAACAAACTTTTTTTGTCTGGGCGGCTTGGTGGAAACATTGGTATGCGCCCATCACCCTCTGCCCAATTGTTTCTAAATATACTGCTTAACCTTATCAACATATACAAGAGCATAAAATAATTTTTCTATTTAAAAAAGTTTAGCGGTTACTTGTTACGAAACATATGGCCTAACTCCAACCTCCTCCCTATTGCCTTTCGGCCGATATTCGACGTTTCGCCGAAACGGCGATGCTCCTCAGGCTGCGCGACCTCTCAAACAACGAGGGGTCGGTATAGATGGGCTCGCTGGGGTCCTCAAACGGACCCCCAGGGGCAGCGCCCGGCGAATCAAAGTGATCGGACACTTTGGGGATGATGGGAAAGTTGGTCGCCCTTGCAACGCTGAAGTTGGAGAACGGCTTTTGAATCATTGTGCCGAAAGCTGAAACACCTATGGGAAATTTTACACGATGTCACTGGAGCAAATGGAAGGCTTGCCTTGAGAAAGCCCCGCGCTGCTCCTGGTGGTCGGATAGGATGGGGCCGATGAGAAATTTGAGGAGGAGATCCGGTCCGCTATCATGTTTTTCCTCATCACCAGCCAGTACTTCCTATAGGCCAAACCGGCTAGCAAAGAGGCGGTGAGGAGGATGGCAACTAGAGCGAAAACAGCCCCAATAAGCCCGTGGTATTCTCCTGGGCGCAAGCAAACCACATCTGGCGCAGGCTCGGCGATCCGCGCCTGGGGCATCTCCTCCCGTGAGTCGAAGACCTACAGCAGTTAAACCAGCATGTAATTCAAAGTACAACCGCTCTCGATTCTCACCTCAATCATCTCCCGCACAAACTCCGGTTCTTCTTCTGGACTCTTATCGGCGCTGGTTACTTTAATGCCTCCTTCCAGGGCGTTTTTCGGTTCCACCTCGGTCTTCAGCAGCACAATGGTGGACTCTTTGGGCGGAGTTTTGAGCTGCTGCGGTTTAGCAGCTGCTGTTGCTTGATTCGCTTTGAGAGGCTGAGGCGTGGGCAGTTGATCTGAAGTGGAGTTCTCCACCTGGGTGGCGTTGAGGGAGCGCCTACGCCGCCCAAATGAGGGCTCAGACCTAAAATATTTTTTTAATTTAAATGTAACCTGAACGTCCTTGATTATCCATTATGTTTCAAGCGCCGTCTATCTATTGTTATCGTCTTGCTCTGAGATTCGCTTGGGAGAGACTGTGCTTACCGTCCGGTTCCTGTTTGGCAGTAGGCAGGTTGGCATCCATCCCTACAGGTCCGGACCGTGGCTTCAAACACCAGAAAATTGGACTCGGGAATTTTGAAGGCATTGAAACGAGCTTCCAAACTATCGCCGCTTCTTCCTTTGTCCAGCTCGGGGAACACGAAACTATCCACTGGACATCTGGAAAAGATTCACAAGTTAAGACAGTTTTTACCTTTGAATGGTGGACTTACCCAAACCGATCAATCAGCTGCACTGAGCGCCCCGAGTAAGGATCTCTAGCTACGACATTGGTTGCGAAAATATCCGTCACATAGTTGTACCCATCTTGGGCCTCCAATCGGAAAGTTAGAGGATCGCCTACAGCGATGGTAGTTGTGGGCCTGCCCTGGTAGAGGATCATCAGTCTCACTTTGGAGCTGAGCGAGTTTTCAGCTGGAAGGTACTCGATGGGGATCGGACTGCCAGACCTGACAGCAAATCTACCCTGTTCTACCCTTAAGGACTTTAGCTAAGTTAATAATTTACCCTGCCCCGATGAAGCCGGAAGACACCACTGCCTCCCCAGGTCCCCTAAACAGGCACGTCAAGTTGAATCGCTTGTCTTTGCCAGTTTGCACAAAGTCGCTAAATTGCACCACTACAATGTTGGTCATGGTATCCCCATAGCGCTGAGTGCCGCACTCCGGATATCCCTGCGCGCCACTGATTCTCAGCACGTTCGAAGTCCCGCCGTTGCCTCTGAAGAAACATCGATCGTAAAATCCGTAGCTGTAGATGCGCCCGTAGAAGCCTTCGGGCGTCCTCAACGTGAACTCCATGCCATCCTCATTGCAAACTTGACTCACTAAAAGGAAGTGTTGGTTGATGGATTTTACGGGGGTTTGGGCGGGGCTTACCGTCCAGGCAGTCATCATCACCGCCATTCCGTCCAATGGCTCGCTCGTAGAAGTCGTAGTTGCCATTGCTGTCAAAATATTGGGCGTTGCCCATTTCCAGCTCAGCGCTATCTCTGTCGCTCAGTTCGCAGTTTTCTCTGCTGCTCTCGTACCCTCCTGCGGCTGCACTTTCTCTGAAAAGCCAATGAGTATTAGGACAGTCTGTACATTCCAGACTTTGATGGGGGGCAAACAAACAGCTTTTCAGAGAAAAACGAGCTATTTCAACAGATGGATAAACTAAGAAAATGATTAAAAGCTAAGTAATATATGGAACAAGCGCGGATGCAAAAGAACCTCACAACCAGCTTCGATGTCGCAACTTGAACTGTGAAGGTTTTCGGTGCAAACCGTCCCTACCCAACAGCTTGGCGTCATCTAACCTTGCGGTTTCCCTGGTAACGCGCCATTACCCTTACTAAAAATGCGGTTGCAGACCAACTGCACGTCGTTTTTAATTAGTTTCTATTGCTGTTAGTGTCGCTTAAAAGCGCAGGCAAAGCCAAATCACAATTTAAATTTTGCAGCATAACTCCTGAGAAGAAACGCCTTAAGGATTGAAAGGAGAATGGGTGGAACAATCGATAAAATCTTACTTGTAATTAAAGGCCCTACATAGGAACGCCCTCTCTTCCACGCACTCCTGCTGGCACCTGCTCAAGGAGGGCGCAAAAACGGTGCGGCGCACAAACTCCTTCCGCGCCCTCTGCCTGGTGCCCATCTGCTTGAAGCTGTCACCTTCTTCGCACCTAAAACCGGCTGCATTAAAAACCCCATTTTAGTTACTCTCTAATAATTTACCGCGTATTGAAGGGGCGGACTGGGGTGACGCTGTTAAAACTGTCGTAAATGGGGCCATCGGGCCCCGGCGAATACGGCCTGCGATTGGGAGCGTAGGGCCTGTCCTCAAACCCCGGCCGCTCCGGCCTTTCGTAGGGCGGTCGACTATCCACTGGGCGGCCTGAAACCAGTCGCCAATAACATAATGATAAGCCTTATTCTATCAACATAATTGAGTTACTAGCCCATCGGCAAACAGCTTACCCAAAGGGCGCCTGTCGGGCCGCGAGAACCACCTGCTGTCTCCATCTCTGTCGTCGCCGTAGTAGTCGTATCTGTTGGTGTCGTAGCGGGTTCCACCCCCGCCTGCACCAAACCGGTTTCCAGAGTAGCGGTCATTGAAGCGGTTCCCGTGCCTTCAAACCGAATATTCTAGACAATTGAATGTATTCAAATAAACAGGTCAAACTTACCGGGTTCCAGAGCCTCCATAGCGCGACGTAAACCTGTCGTCGCCCTCAAACCGGCTGTTATAACCGCCAGAGGGGGAGTACCGACTTCTATCGCCACCACTGTATCGATCTCGCTCGTTATAACCGTAACGGTCCCGATCGGCCACCCCTGGAGGGTATCTGTCAATAGCGTAAAACCGATCTCTATCCCCCATGCGGTCGCCATAGAGACTATCGTGTCTGTAGTCGTATCTATCCCCGTATCTGCTGCCATATCTGGAATTAGTCAAGCTTAGTAGAACAGTCAAGAACACGCCAGCTGAGACAACTTGAGTCAGCTTAGCCAAGCTAAAAAAACGCCTACCTTTCCCCTTCCGGGTATCGGCTGCCGCCCCCATAGCTAGGCCTAGGTCGAGGATACAATGGGCCGCCACTGGAAGGCGGGTAGGCTGGGTATCTGTCCCTGTCCTCCTGAGGGTATCGGGAGGCTGGCGGGTACCGTCCTGGCTCTGGCGGGTACCGTCCTGGCTCTGCCGGGTACCGATCGGGCCTAGTTGGGTACCTAAATAAAGCAATTCGTGGCAACTTCCTCTCTTTACTTGGTGTTCAAGCGCACCTCTCCTCATCTGGATACCTGTCGCTGTACGCGGGCCTTCGAGCTGGCAGCCGGTCATCGTAGTCGGCGCCACCGCCGCCGCCGCCGCCACTGGGCGGCGGGTATCTGCTGCCAGACGTCACTGGATACCGCCCTCCACTGGCTGGGTACCTCCCTCCGCCGCCTCCTCCTCCTCCTCCAGAGTGGCCACCTGCTGGGTAACTTTCCCCCGGTCTGCCCCCTGAGCTCTCGCCTTCACCCCCCACTATTTCAACAAGAATTACTGCGATTGCCCTCACTACCTCATTGCGGGTTACTCACACATCAGATTCTCGTAGTAATCGTAATCGGCGTCGTAAATAATCCGCATTCCATCCCTCTGGTTGTACCTGGTGAGTCTACAGGTGCGATAGCGTTCGCTGTACTCAGCTGAGCGGCACTGGAAGCTGGGCTGTCGTAGACACTCGTCCAAGCACTCGCTGAGCGATCGGCCGGATATTTCCGAGTGATGTTCCCCTATGCAATCACATTGTCAATATAACAATAATCCTTTTGTATTCATTTGCATTGATCATCCTAAACTCACCCCCTAATCGACTGTTCCTGTAGCGTTGAAAGGCCGTATCCAGCTTCTTCCCAGCGAACAAATGCGAAGTCACCGAATTATCTGGATACTCTGATCCGCGAGCTGGCAAAATGAACTTTTTAAGAAAGATTTGGCACCCCCTAACACTCACTTACGGCTATCCAGGCAGACAAAGTCGAAGAAATGATGGGTTGGGCTGCTGGCCACGCCCAGATCGTCCTTTTGCGAAATCGAGTCCTCTTCGGACAGAGTGCACTGTTTGGTCATTTCATCATACTCTATTGACCTAAGCATAGAAAAGAACTGTTGTCATTCCCATCAAGGACTTTCATTGGTTGATTACCTGCACAAATACTTCTCAGCCCTCACACACATGGCCTGGCAGTCCTCCAAGGTGAGGTTAGTGAACAAATCCACCTCAAACGGTCCTCCTAGTCGCTTGTTTTCCTCCTTGATGAACACGGCCAGTCCGTCGCAGCGGCGCTCCGCTGAAATCGACGATTTTATGCAAAGTTTCACTAGGTCGACAAATTGTTACCGTTCAGGCAGGTGTTTTCCAGATAGTCGCTCTCCGGATCGTCCTCCACCAGTTCTGGATGCGTCCTACGAGTGAATCGGCTCAAAGTGCAAGTCCTCATGCCCATATCGAAGGTGGCCGAGCGGCACACAAAACTGAACTCATTCAGGCACTTGTCTTCGCATTCGCTCCTATTGTTTGCGTTCATCTCTTTAATGTCGGTTGCTGGCAGTTTGAGCCTCTTCCTCGGGTGCCTCTCGAAGATGTAGCGCCGGTTCGGGCACTCGCGATCAGGCCGATTGGCTGCAACACAAATACTTTGAGCCTCAGCCAATCTTGATTGTATTACTTACAAGTGATGCACACTTCGGTAAAGTGAATGCTGTTGGGGGCCAATATCAAAGTGCCCAGGCCTTCCGGCCTGGACTGTTCCCCAGTTAAGTAGCAAGTGCTCTCTTCATATTGAGTGTCCCCGGTATATGTAGCTATTCGGCTGCCCGGTTGGAAGTCAAAGGAGGCACATTGGCTGCAAGCAAGACCAATAGGCAACATTGGGGGCGGGGCCTGTGAAATGCGCCAACCTACCGAACGATGTTGTTTGAGGAACGGTCACGCATGCACAGGTCCTGGCACTTTTCCAGCACCATGAAGGGCGGGGCACTGTCTTTGACCACGTCATCGTCCAGCCCCTGCAGCTGGATGTTGGGCAGCCTCTCGTAGAGGATTTTGCCATTCATTGAGCCCGATCCACAAGAAGTTTGTGCTGGAAAATTGCAGGAATGGAAACTTCGACTGGACAAAGGTGCGAATTGCTACTGACCTTTGGTCATCATTTTCAATACCGTAAGGACAGTGATCGCTTGCACCATGCTGGGAACGTAGGGGTAACTTTTCATTTTGAATTTCCTGGACTATTAGCAAGGACTATCTGGACATACTTCTTGATCTGGAAATGGACATTGGTTCAATGTGAAATAGTTGGAATTTTCGTTTGCTAGATATAGAAAAAAGTGCCCACGTGGTCAAAATCTTCAAAAAAAATGTTTTCTCAAAAATGGCTGTTTCTCTACAAGATTCAAAAATTCGTAACTTCTAATCTGGAACAGGCAGCAACGTGAAGGTTTCATACTCTACATATACAGGGTTATTCACGCCATACGGCACGGAAGTTTGCGACTAAACCGTTTGATTTTTATAAAGTATTATTTTATGAATTGTCCGACGCCTACCGAGCGCACATGTCAAAAATATTTTTGTAATGTACAGGGTGTCCCAAAGGCTCTAAAGGTATCAAAGTTGCGTTTTTTTTAATGGAATGTCCTGTATATTATTGCATTTTTGGATTCGCTGAACAAAATAAGTGTCTGTTTTAAT